AAAAAAAAAAAAAAAAAAAAAGAAACCATGAAATTCCAAACCCTGACAGTGAAGAACCAAATTCTTCCTAAGAATCAACCAGAATTAAAAGATTCCCCCCATGTCAGACTGTACATAAAATAATCTCTGCCCCATTTACAGCGTTTCACACAGTACTTCTCGTATCTCAAACTTCAGAACTGTACAACTTTGTTACAAACCACGCTTTTTCCTAGGAAAAGCTTACAGAAAAAAATATTGCCACTTTCTTTTTTATTTTTTTATTTTTATTTGTAACAAAAAAAAAAAAATTAAAATCTTTAAAAAAAAAAAACAACCCAACAAAATTAAAGTCAGCCAGAACTTGTAAGTGTGGGCAGGGGTGCGGGAGGGAGCAGAGACACACTTCTCAGCCAAACTTTTCTCCTCCCGACCGGGATAGGGAACACTTTTGGCAGATAAAAGACTGTTTGCCACTGCTGGGGGTCCAGACCCCGGCCCCCCACCCCCACCGTGATCCTTCCTCTAAGCACAGCAGCCGTTTCAACCCCCGGGGCTCAGACCCACGGCAAGCGCCAGGTACCCACAGCACCGAAAGCCAACGGCCCGAGCTCTCACCCCGGCAGAAGTCAGCTTGTGGCGGTGCCGGAGAGCAGGTCGGCAGCCCCGCGCCCCCGCGACCCCCTCCCCTCCGAAGGATGAGCCAAGCCTTGGGATCAGGGTGGCAGCTCCCGGGTGTCACAGCTCTGGCCTAACAGCTGGATTCGAGAGTTCTGCGGGTGCGGAGCCAGATGGGGCAACCCGGGCTCCCCTGCTGCAGGCAGCCTGCCGGGCAAGCCCAACCGGGCAGGGAGGCGCCGGCAGACCGACAGCCCCTCCGAGGCCAGCTTCCCGCTTCCCGCAGACCAACAGCCTTCCCTTCTCTTCCTACGGACACAGCGAGCCCAGGCGACCCGTGCAAGAGCTTTAGTTCAATCACTGAGTCTTCTCGAGATACGGGTAACGGTAACAAACCCCAATTCCGCCTGCTCTTGGCAGAAAAGCAGGGCCAAACCCCGCCTTCCTCCCCCTTCCTTAGGTAAGACAGTTCTCACGGTCTGGGCCGTGGGTCTGGGTGTATGGGATCGTCACGCTGGACGTAGCCTTACTCCCAGTTTCAGGATGAGCGGGTCACACGCGGTGGGTGGGGGGAGAGGAGGTGGGACCGCACAACTGGACCAGACACACGCGACAAAGCCACCGGCGTCAGGTCTGTGCAGGAACCCGCCCTGCAGAGCGGATGGGGAGACGTTTTGCCTCTGACTTGGAGCTCACCACCCTCCGTCCTCCGCACCAGACCCACGCCACCAGCCTGACCCGAAGCTTGACACAGCCAGCGACAAAAAACAGGTACGGGCATCACCAGTCTGTTTGAGCCACAGTTTTACCAGACGGGTTACGGTAAGGGATCTAGACATCCGGATCCACGCGAAAAACGTGTCTTCTGGTTTCGAATCAAGGTTTCACTCCGATGTTGTTCAGTGCAAAAGAGTTAAAAAACCACGTTATCTACACATATACATCCGTGTGTATAGAAAATGTCTGTACAAGCGGGGGAGACGGCCTGCCTGCACGCTGGGGGCTCCTCGCCCAAGAGATGCTACGGGTCAGACTGGTTACATCCCACTCGCACTCCCAAGGTGTCGAGCCCCAACCAGCCAGGTGGAAAACCAAGCGCACAGGAGAACAGACGGCAGCTGGAGAGCGGCCCCGGCAAGGAGCCCCTCCTGCCCCTCCGGCCACGGCCGCCAGCTCAGACCCACCGCACAGATGCGGGGCAGGGAGGGAGGGAGGGAGGAGGGGAGAGCTCCCGACCACGGCACGCAGGGATACCGACAACAAACCGGGAGAGGAAGGATACCGGCGCGCTAGACTGGACAAGGACTGGGATGAGGTGACGGTTGGTACCGGCCTAGAGGCAAGACCTCCAGATGCCTCCAGCAGAGACAGAGCCAACACCTCATCCCACAGCAGCCCTGCTCTGGGAGACGGCCCCGGAAAGGCAGGGCTGCCTCCGGCTTCACTTGGAGTTGAAACACCAGGTACAGTATCCATATTGCAGAGGTAGGAGTAAAATTGGGAGCCAGTGAGGGAGGGAAGAGCAGGCTGTGCGGAGCCGAGACCGGGCAGTGACCACGGCAGCACCCGCAGCAGAGCCTGACACCGAGGAGGGCACGGGGCACGTCCAGGAGGAATCCAGAAAGGCAGTTAGAAACAGCCAGGCTAGGCATCCTGCTAGCAGGGCTCTAGCTTGCCGGAGAGGTCTGCATCAGCCATAAGGAAGAGAAGGGATCGCTGCTCCCTGCATGCAGTTTTGCTACCAGGGGAATGCCAAGCTTTCCAAAATAGGGTGGTGTTTGGTTTTTTTTGTTTTTAAGCCAAGAGCTGGCCCGGATTCTCTGCAGAAAGCTGGGAGGAACACTGCTTCAAATGCTAAGCGTGGTCTGAAAAAGGCTTCTTAAAGGTTTCAGAAGGAGCACAAGCATGATCTTTCAGATCTCCAAGCAGACAAGACACGTTCCTTCGAAGGCTGGCCGTGAGGCTGCGCCTGTACCTCCGCACTGAGACAATGGGGGCTCTCACCAGGAAAGCAATCAGATCAAGAGAATCAGAGACAGGCACTGGGGACCTCACCTACGACCCCCCCGGCCCACCAGTGCCGTGCTGAAGGTGATGGTAATTTCCCCTACACTAATGTCACCGCTAGATCCAGCCTGAGCAGTAACCCCAACAACAGAGAGGCAGGAGCTGCAGGAGTCAACGGGGAAGGAAAAGGACACCGAGACCCAGATGTCAGCAAAGGTGTTCGATCGCCAAGGGACGGCGCTCCGGGGAACAACGCCTGGGTTTGGGGTTTTTTTTTTTGACTGGGAGCCCCTCAAGACAGCAGCAAACGGGTTTCAAAATATATTACATCTTTTTATTGCCAAGCGTGCAGACCATGAAGTGTGTGGGGGACACAACACTAAGAAAAACTACAATTTGAGGGAGGGCAAAGCAGTAAAAATTTAAAAATAAGACTACTCCTTACAACTGCCAACACTTGGGTTCAAAGAATCAATTGGAGGAAGTTTCTTAAAAGCACGATTCTAAATATGGTGTTGGGCCCCAAACTTTGAAAACACCGAGGCTTCGGTCTGGGCTAACGCAAACCGGGTGGGAGGAGAGGAGGAAGGCGGCAGACTTTCTCACACTAACTCTGCGGGGCCGAATGCCCAATTCTTTGCGTTTTCTGTAGCCACCAGAAAACTCCCTACCCCAGGAATACAGGCAGGAATAAGCCAGGAGGAGGTGGGCAACTGAACTGGGGCCAAACCGGACAGACTCTCGCAGTGTCCCCGCTCCCAGAGCCAGCCTCGGAGGGGACGGACCGCAGCCGAGCCACCCGGCTCTGTTCCTGCTCCGACAGCGTGCAGCCGGTCCCTCGGGATGGGACGCTGTGCTGTCTCGAGTCTCTCCACCTAAAAGGGGCAGGGGGGCCGACAGACAGTCCCCCAGGCAGCGGAGAACAGCTCTTCCCGGGGGTTCCCGAGCCAAGCATCCTCCCAGCATCCGTCCTGCTCCTCTTTGCTACCTCCAGCTCTGGGGAGCGGCCCGGGCTCCGCGCAGTCGCTCACTCAGCAGCCCCGGGGCTCCAATATGGACCTCGGGTCAGTGCTGGGCCAACCTCGGTGAAGCCAGCCACGTTTCCTTCCTCCTTAACCAAAATATACCGCTGGTCAGACCAGCACTGAGAAACCAGAGCTCAAGTACATTCTTCTCTGAGAGGGCAACACAGGGACGCAAGGCGGCGAGCCCACGGTGGCTTGGCAAAAGGGACCGGAAAGGAAACCTGCGGCATTGAAAACTGGTACTAAAGTGCAACAAAAATGTCCTAAACCCTTCAAAAACCTATCGCAGTAAGAGGGTCTGCAAAGCTTCAAACTTCCAGTTACTGCAGGGCACCCTTAAAACAAACCCAACAAAAACTACGTTAAGAGCAGACCAAGGAGCCCTTTGGTGAAGCGAGGAATACGAGGCCACCACAGAGAGTTTCAGCTCCTGGGGTCAAACATCATATTTAGAACATTTGGAAAGGAAGAAAGTTAAAGCAAAAAAAAAAAAACAAAAAAAAAACCCCACAGAAATACAATTCTTCAATCTTGCGCAATGAAACAGTTAAACTTTTTGGTGTTTTCAAAAGAAATCCCAACAGACAGCCTGGCATAACTTTATCTGCTTCCTAAGGGAGAGATGCCCGTTTGACCCATGACTCAGGACACCATGTGCACTGGACATGTTCCATCCTTACGTACGTCTCAGCATTCCTCCATTCATAAAAACAAATCGCTAGATCCTTCCTGTTTACTCTTCAGCCTGAAAGGAAAAACCAAAACTGAAGCTAGATGGAAGATAGCCAGAGGGAGGAGAAAGTTTTCACAGACTGGAGGCCAATCTCATCAGCTCCGTGAGCCTGGAAAGTGCAATCCTCAGTGTCGCCTCATTTTAACTTTCCTGGCTGGGCTGCCGTCCTCCTCTTCCTCGTCACAGTCCTCCGTGTACTCGTAAGACCTTCGCCAATAGTTCTCGGAGCTGAAGTTGCTCCGTCTCCTATGTTTTGGTAAAAGGACTGAGCGCCTGTTCTCCTCCTTATCCATTTCGAGAATCCGTGGCCTAGGGAGAGAGAGAGAGAGAAAGAGACAGTGGGAGCACACCCACAACAGGATTTAGACATTCCTTCTGCAGACACTACCTGCAGTTTTGCATACTTTGAGTGACATGATTGAGTGTTTCCACGTCGTTTGCCCGGTACTGGGCACTCAGCAGAGCAGAAAGAGATCACCAAGCTGCACCTCCCTTGGGGACGCAGAGAACTTTGCTTTTGACGGCGCAGCAAGTCTTTCCCCTTCCCAGGGCAAGTTTTGGTCTCTACCTCCACCAGGAACGCTTCCAATCAGCCCGGTCACCTCTTTTTTAAGTGCAGCTTGTGGCCCCAAGAAACACCCCTTGGGCAGAGGCGTCTGTCTCTCCTACGGCAGAACTCGCAGCACAGAGCTGAGCTCCTTTTCAAGCTGCTGGGGTGCTTGTGGTGGAGGATCAAACCACAGCTCCCACCTCCCTTGTCCTCTCAAACATTAGCACAGTGCAACTGTTATTTCTGCAAAGCTGCCCCTGCTCTCACCTGCGATCGCTCTGCAGTAGGACGGAGCCGGTGGGCTGCACAGAGCACTCGTTTTATCCTAGGTGGGAACTGCTGAGTTCCTCCAGGAGATACCTCTAGCTGGTATCTGTCCTGTTTACCTACGTTATACTGGAGTCTTTGAGGCCAAAAGGAAGAGGAAAAACATGTTTGTGACACCCATCTGCTGCGGGGGTCTGTGCAAGCCCTCCCTCCTCCTCCAATAAAGTCCCATCAGGCCCAAAACCAGCTCTCACGGATCTCCAGATCTGCCCTGCATGATCGCCTCTCGAATCATACACCGGCCCAGTGCGTGCTCAGAGGTAAGCCTTCGTTGGCAGGCTGGCTTCTCTTCTCGATCTACCTTCCCAGTCAGTCCGTGTCCAGGTGACTGAACACCGCTCATAAACAAGCCACCCCCGCCCTCCTCCCTCCAGGACAGGTTGAAACACGGGCTGGGACCGCACAGCAGCCAAGCCCCGGGACCAAGCCAACGTTTTGGTTTTTACCCGATGTGCAGAGAACCCTCAGGAAGGTTTGGAATTGGAGAACACCAGAAATATCGCACGACAGCCAGCAGACCGGCTATCACTCATGGCTATCAGTACGCTCCTACAGAGCACGGGGGTGTTTTGGAGGAGGCTGGCTCAAGCTGTCCGAAACCTCGACAAGGAGCTCCCCTGAAGGTCAGGCTTACGCATTCACACTGTCTGGTTACACACACAAAAACATACACAGGCAGCTCTGGAACTAAAACAGGTCTGAGAAGCTTCCCAAGAAGGCCTTCACCTTTCCCAGATAGCAAAACCTCACATTCTCTCCCAAGACTGCTTTCATAATATAGTTTAACGCAGCTGCACAGGTTGCTTGGCAATAGAGGTCAAAAATAATTAGCTGCAGGGAAACTATTGTTCTGAATGACTGCATTATCAAGACCCAGCCAAATCTATTGCTTCTTCATTATGCCACTCACAGGATAAACAAGGTAAGCTGCTTACAGCCAGAGCTCAGCCTCCGCAATCCTAGGAGGAACACACAAAGAACCTCGTACTGATAAAACAGATCTGTGCACCGCAGAAAGCACCCGGGAGGTGCAAACTAGGATGTTTTTAAGTGTGCTGTTCAGTCTCTCTTGTCAGAGGCCAGGAACCTCAGACACACACAGTGACCTAGAGATACCACCCAAAACATTGCTCTGGGGCGAGATCATCCTACCTGTGAGCAGCATCTGGATCCGCTTTGCGATGGGACCGCTTTGGTTTCAGGATCTGGTCCCGGTTGCTTCCTGATAGACGGTCAGAGTTATAACCTGGTGGCAACACAGAGCTACTCAGGGATTTTGTTTCCAATCGAGGTGCATCTAGTCTTGTTCTGCAAATATTTAAAGAGAAGAGAATTTGCAAGGAGTTTCTACAGAACCGCTAGCGCGCTGCAGCAGATGTTTGTCCTAGATGTGCTGAAGCAGAACCCTCAATCCCAGCCACGCAGCTCAGGAAGGGGGTCAGGACTATTACGCTCCACAGCGGAACGAGCTGCAGCTTTCTGGTACTTGCAGCTTCAGCTTTAACCTTTGCTGCCTCGGTTAGAGGGAAGGAAGGAGCTCAGGGACACGCGTAGTCACGAGGCGAATGCAAATGGTGCTGGGCTCGCTGCAATCCCAGTTACAGGAGACAGAGCAGAGGCACTGGAGCCCCTGTGAAATCCTGTGAAATCACAGTGACTCGTCAATAACTCGCAGCTCCAGTTAAGCCACCTGGGAGATGCCCTGCGAAATTCATCATCACCTACAAGAGTAATAACCGCTTTTATCTGGAAACTCCCTACTGTCTCAAGATCTCGCCGGGTCAGGCGTTTCTCAGCTTGACTAAGAGGTTTAAAGAGTTGAAGTAGGAGTCAGGAGAAGGTCTAGCCAGCAGAAGCTGCACCACATCCCTTCCAGCCAGCGCAGCACACGCTCAAGCCGTACCGGAGCATAAGCACAGCCCATCTCGGAGCAGAACTACAGGCTGTAGCCACGCACCCGTGGAAGGAGGCAGCAGGCTGAGCAGCAGGAACGAAAACTCGACAGCACAGCGTCTTATCACAGCGCTATCACTGTCTCCAAGCACAGCGCAGTTACCAGGCTCAACTTACAAGCTCTGCTAAAATCTATTTCAAAACACAGACTGAAGCCACAAGAATGGGCAAAACACACTAAAAGGTGGTGCTGGTGCTCCAGAGCTGCCCGTCTCAGGAGGATCCTTGGATTCCAGAAGGAAAGGCACCCTGATATTGTTTCTGCGGCCTGCCTCCCTCCTTGGGATTAGGGGTGAATACAGAAGGGGTCTGCGTGAAAGAAAGGGGAGAATCACTACTCGCTCTACAGTGCTGAACTTTAGCTCCTGAGGGAGGTTTCCACAAGAGAATCCCAACCTAAACTCCTGTCAGGAGGCACGTCCTTGTTACCAAGCTTCCTCTCCGCCATCGGGGAGAGCCTCTTCAGTTAACCAGGGCGATGCCAGGCTGGCACGCGAGAAGCTGGGCACGGCAGCCCAAGTCCAGCCAGCATGCCAGAAACAAGGAACACTTCCGCAGGCAGCTGCCAGGCTGGAGCCGTTGCTAGTCCACAACACCATCACCCTGAGCTGTTCTCAGCCCCAGGACTGGACCCAGTCCAGCTAGAACACCAACGGCAGCGAGGATCCTGCTCTGGACATGTTAGGTGGTTAAATACCTCTCAAATACAACAGCAACTATAGGCTTGCAATTAAAACAAACAAACCGCCAAATACACTGCAAGGGAACAGCAGCCACGCTGTCTCTGTCCACAGAGCAACGACGGGATGAGCTGCAGGAGCAGGTAGGAGGAGAGGCTCTGCTAAAACAGAGAGCAAATTACCCACCAAAGTTCAAGGCAAACAGAATAACTCCCCGATGTAACAGCTTACAAAGTGCTTGCGAACGGCAGCACCAGCCCCCTAAAATGACTTTCAAGACCCGCTCCAACAGCCTCATTTTTATCCCCTACCTCCTTCAGCACCTCATGCAACTGAGAGCGTCATTCCTCCCCCCCCAGCCTCTTGCTCAAAGCCCTTCCAAACCTCGCCGCAGCCCTGCGCTCCGACGCGCAGGAAACACTGTAAATACCATCGCGCTACAGCACCGAAGCGTGGGTGACCCACTCGCTAACCCCACCGCTCTCGAGCAGCCCGCGAAAACCAG